CCCTCTCCCTCTCCCTCTCCCTCTCCCGTTTAGCATGTCCTCGAGTGAACACTAAAAAGACAAATTTGTGATGTTTCCCTCTGTCTGTCAAAGTGAAACATAAGCAAGTGATGGCAGCCATGCAAAAGGCACGCACTATTTTCTTATCGTAGGACTCTCCGCTGCTGTAGGTCGTGGCCAGGGTGGAAGAGCACTCTTCCAGGTACCACGGCTTCTTTCCGCTTTCGGCTGTGCTGCTGATGGAGATGGTGTAGATGCTGTTGGTGTAGCCGTCGCACGAGCAGTGGTCCTTGCTCCTCCCGCCATTTCCCGACGCCCAGACAAAAACGGAGCCCAGGCCTCTCCGCCCCTGTTCACAAACAGAAAACATTACAAAGTTAAACGATGGGAGACAAGGACCCCAGACTGTCGATGGAGAGAAGATCAAAATCAACAAGACCAAATCAAATATTTGCAGGAGGGGTGTGAGGCTAGTTTAATAACATGCCCGACTTAAGCTGTTTTTTGACGTAGGAGGAGTTGCTTTTAGAAACTAAAATAATCCAGTGTAATGTACAGCAAGGCAACTATGGTTAATAGCACTGCATATATTTGAAAGCTGCTAAGAGAGTAGATCTTCAAAGTTCTCATCGCAAGAAAAGCAATGGGTAACGCTGTGAGGTGATGGAAGTTAACTATACTCACTGTCATGATCATTTCACAATATATACAAATACTGAGTCATTAATGTTGTACATTTGAATCTAATATAATGTTATATGTGAATTATATTCCAAAAAAACAACAACCTAAAATAATCTTTTTCACATGACGCAGTCATAGGAGTAACAAGAACACCAATAATGACAATAATAAGGGCTAACATTTATTAGGTGCCTACTATGGACCAAGCACAGTTCTGCATGTTTACGTGAATCAGAATGAATTCCTCTAATAACCTGTGAGAACGGTACAATTTGTATCCCCATCATACAGATGAATAATTGAGGTACCGAAGTTCAGTAATGTTCCTAAGGTTGTACAGCCAGTAAGAGAAGGGACAAAGTTTGAACTCAGACAGCCGGACCCCAGAGTTGTCATATTAGTCATAAATCACCAGTCATATAATATTGCTTTCAATATTTACATCCACCATGAAGGGGGCACGATTGTGTACCCTCATTTCACACGTGAGGAACATGAGGTGTAGAGAGGTTATGTATTTATCCTGAGATCACCTGTCAGTGGGTGGCAGAATTAGGTCCTATATCTTTCCTCCTAGAGCTGTGCCTCCTCTGTGCATGGGGTGGACACTAATTACTAAGGGATGTTAACAGATGCTACCAGAAATAAAAGGATTTCAAGATCAAATGTGTTTGGAAACTCTGAATTAAGCAAAATTAAACAGGTTCCCTTATTGCAGAACTTCTAAGAGTCTTTAATAATAAGTGGTTGGTCACTGCAAAACTCCAAGGGGGGCACAATCTGAAGTAATTTCCAAACATATTTGATCGCAGATAACTTCAACCAGACCCATGACGTTTTTCTTACACAGCTAGGAGATGGAGTCACATTCTTCATGCCAATTCATGGCATAAATTAAAGACATTTCTAAGGTCATAAAGTAATCAAGAAGAAGGAAAGTAGAACATAGATGTATTGAAGCATAGTGACTATTTGGTTCCATAAGATGAGGTCTTTAGGAAAAAACAGAGAAACAAGCCTAAGGGAAGAATATTTCCAGGAATAGTTATAGCCGAGTCCATGAGAAATTTTACCATTTTAGAACTAGAAGGCACACTGGAGGACACTTGGGCCAAATCCATCACTTTGTAATTACGAAGTGAGAACCAAGATCACATAGGGATGGCCGAGACTCTTCCCTCCTTCCGGGCCCTAACTTTCTGGTCTTAGGTGTAAGGAAAAGTATTTGAAATGTTGTCTTTGGAATTTCTGGAAAAAGAGCCAAGAAAAGAGAGACAACAAAGAATCCGGAGTATCTGTGATCAACTGTCTCTGACCTTGAATCCTCAAGGAAAAGAATATTTATGACATGACTTGACAGACTTGAGCATAGATTTCCTTTGTCCTTCAATGTGGAAAAATGCCGTATGATTACACAGGAATGGGAAAAATTCATGAAGAGAGAGGAAAAGGAACTTCTGGATGCTACTGTTCTGGACAGCTAGGTCTGGTTTACTTTCCCTCAGTTTCCCATCAAAATATTCATGAAACACAGAAAAAGATGCAAAAATCACCAAGCCATCATAAACCAAGCATTATGTTCAATACTTTGTCAATCCCAGAACTGTCCCTCATTAAGTCTGGGTGGCCAGATTGAAAAACTCTGGTGACTGACTTATATCTAGACTTCAGAAATAGACCACCATAGCCAGAGAAGGCAGGAGGTTCCAGTTCATCACCGAAATGTACCCCCTCTATAACCAAGGGGCTAGAAGCCTGGTTACACTGGGGCCTTACCTAACAGGTCAACAGAACACGTGAAATAATGTAAAGACCCACCTGGTTAAAACAGCACCAGTAGAGATAAAAGACTGAGAACCACAAAAAAATGAAAAAGCACATAGGGCACAAACACATTATACAACACTGTTCCTGTGTATAAAATTCAGAAAAGGTCCTTAAAAACTAATTAAATTTTTAAAGAATATTTAATAAGAAAATATTTAGGAGGTACTTTTATGTTCACAATGTAGTGACAACTGTAGGATACAAAATGATATCGTATGGTCTCAGTTTAGAAAAAAATGTATGTGTATATAAAGAAGTTAATGTGTATAAAGCTATATGCATAAAGCTACTATAAAGTGATAATGTAACAGAACTTACCCTGTTTGATAAGATTAGGAAAGATTTTTATTTTCATACTATCCTTTGGTGACCATGTGTGATTTTTATAAACAAAAACAAACACATTTATTTCCCTTTTAAAAGGGAAAACACAGGACCGATTCTTAATAATTTTACTTTATGATCAAGAGGGGTTTTACACATGAAGGTCCATGGTATGCTAAAAACAACAGAGGCTAAACTTTACAGAAACTTACTATGTGCCAAGCACTGTCCAAACATTATTCTGCATGATTGGAATCTATATCATTGTCATTTTACAGATGAGCAAACTGGGGCTCCAAAATGATTACTAATTCCAGAGTCAGAGTTTGAAATCCAACTGGAGCCAAAGCCTGAGCCCTTAGCCCTTAGAGCAGTCTTCTTTTGGGCAAAAAGAGGGCTTATGTTTGCTATGCTGTTTTTAGCTGAAACTCCAATGTCTTCACTGAAGCCTGGCATTAGGATCAAGAGCAGGCCAACCTCCAAGTTCTCTCCCAACTTGTAGAATCAGAACTTAGGACCTCTCCTGAGTGTCCTCAAGGGAAAACATATAGGTTCTGACCCCAAAGTCCCCCCAGAAATCCCTCCTGGGCAAGGGTTCCCTCAGAAGTATGACATCAAGTCATTCTATTCTGGCAGCATCCACAAATGACACTACTCTGGAGGACAATGACATTGCTAAGGGGTCCTCTGGGGATCCATGGGGTTGGGATGGCAGCTGGTTAATAGGATAGTAGGTTGCTGCTGCACTGCAAATGTCCCTTCCAGACAGAAGTGACATCCTTGTATCAAAAAGAGAATTTGAGGTGATAATTTCACAACTGGGCATGGTAAAGGGTAATTCTAAAGGACAGTGTTGGCAATAACCCATCCCCCACACCAGGCTTGCAAGAAGTTGGGGAGAGGGGAATCACTGGGGCTAGAGACTGAGGAGATAACAGGAATTGAGAATTGCTCAGGGGACACACCAACCCATACTGGCCGTTCAGGGAGGCAGCCAGGGGAATACACACTGAGACCCAGTCTCCTCCTCTCCCCCCATTTCTTGCCAGTGTATCCATCCCACTGGCCAAAACCTAGCAGAAGCCAGAGGAGCCGGGAGGCCATGGATAGAGCACAAAGGTCAGCATCCCTCAGCATGGAGCACGTGGAGAAAGGGGGGATGGAGGGTCGAACGGGAGACATTGGGCATCATCCTTAAGGTGTGTAATGGACTGAACCGTGTCCCCCACCCCCAAATTCATACACTGAAGCTCTAACCCCCAATGTGACTGTATTTGGAGATAGGTCCTTTAGGTGGGTAATAAAAGTTAAATGAGGTCTAATAGGACTGGTGTCCTTATGAGCAGAGGAAGAGATGTCAGAAGTACACCCACAGAGGAAAGGCCACACGGAGACACAGCAAGAACGCGGCCGTCTGCAAACTGAGAGATGTGTCACCAGAATTCAATCCTGTTGGCACCTTGATCGTGGACTTCTAAACTTTTACTCTCCAGAACTAGGAGAAAATACATTTCTGTTGTTTAAACCACCCAGTCTTTGTTAATCTGTGATGGCAGCCTGAGTTTACTAATACAGGTGAGAGGAGGAGACGGAGGATGCCCTGCCCCCAGGGATATACAGAATATACCGAGGCTGCCACCATTCTACCCACGAGGCAACCTGACCTTGACGCATGTGCGTATGGTTTATGATTAAAGGCCCAGAAATAAACAGGCTGAATTTGTGGGCTGAAAATGCCATAAAGACAGCTGCTAGAGATCTATGAGGTTAATCTGAAACAATTAGCAATTCAAAGATTTATTTACTACAGATGCACAGGGGATTTTCATTAGTGTGCAATATTTAGAAAACCAAAACATATGTAGTTAAAAAAAATCTGGACATTTTTCCAAAATTTAGAGTAATTTAAGAATTAAACCTTCATGCGGGATGTAGGGAGAAAGGAAGGTGGGCAGAATATTGTAAAGAGAAATATTGTATTGAGACACATATTTTCCCAAAATGTAGGAAATAGCATTTTCTAGTTTGGTAAAGTATTGTGACTATGATTGGTTGTTTAAATATGGCTTTGAATGAGAAAAGAAAAAAATCCTCCAATTTAATTGAGTGCTAAGTTAAAAGTTAGTAAACTAACTTAAGGCAAAATATATTGTGAAATCCACACAGGACCCATTCAACCGAACTCTAAATACTCTCTTTCATTGTGTATCTAATTGTGCATGTGTTTCTTCTTATGTGTGCCCTACAAAGATCAATTTATAATGCCCCATAGAGTTTTTATTAAAGGCTGGAAAGGAACTGGATTTTCTTGTGGTTCAGGAGGTCAGAAAAGGCTACTTTATGCTAGATTACCAATTAAATTGTACACCCCAAGCCAGGTTTTGAGAGCTATAGAGTTTGATGGAACTAAATTTCTTTAAAATAGTGTGATAACTTTTCAGCCAATGTACATAGATGTTATTTGGTATTTTAATATCATTTTCTTCCCCCATACTGGGTAGATATTTTTTTAAA